GGCTCATATTAAGTTTTTCATCCATCAAGACCCCCAGGTCCTTCTCCACAGGGCTGCTCTCAAGGACCTCTCCTCCCAGTCTGTAGGGATGCTTGGGATTCCTCTGACCCAAGTGCAAAACTCTGCACTTTGCCGTGTTGAACCTCATCAGGTTCACCCGGGCCCACCTTTCTAGCCTCTCGAGGTCCCTCTGAATGGCATCCCTTCCTTTAACTGTGTCAACCACACCACTCAGCTTGGTGCTGTCAGCAAACTTGCTGAGGGTACACTCGATTCCACCATCAATGTCATTGATAAAGATGTTAAAGAGGACCAGTCCCAAGACAGACCCCTGGGGGACGCCGCTCGTTACCGGCCTCCACCTGGACACAGAGCCATTGATGGCCACCCTCTGTCTGTGGCCTTTCAACCAGTTTCTTATCCATCGAGTGGTCCACCCATAACAAAATTTGTCCCTCTGACCCCAGCCTAGAGGCTCAGTGATGTGAGAGGTGCGGGAGGCAAAGAACTCGTGGAGAACCTCAGCCTTCTCCACGCCAGTTCTCCCTTCTCATTTATCACGCTGTATCTCAGCAGCTCGCTCAGAGACCTACGCGCCTAAGATGGCGGCGATGCCTGTTGCTAGGGTTGCTGGGGTTGCCTAGCAACCGCGTGCTGCAGCTCCGAGCATGCGCAGTGAGGCGCGCTGCGCCGCGGGGCAGGCTGGGAATGCTCACAGCCGGCGGCGGCGGCGGCGGCCCCGCCGTCGCTATGAACGAGTCGGTGGTACGACGGACGCAGGAATGCTTGGGGCAAGTGATCCGCAAGCCGCCCTTGACGGATCGGCTGCTGAGTAAGCCGCCCTTCCGCTACCTGCACGACGTGATCACCGAGGTGGGCCGGGGACCGGCCTGCGGGCCCGCTCTGCTGTTGCTAAGCAACAGGGCCTCCCCCTTTCTCCCCCCCGCCCCCCTCTGGCTGCCCCTTGCGTGGTGAGGCGGCGCCCCATCACTGAGGGCGCCCCCTGGCGGCTGGGGGTGTAACCCCTCGTGGGTGGGGGGGCATGGAGTGTCATGGGGGTCTTGGCTCGCTGCTGTGATTTGCCCCGCTGGAAGGCAGCCGCGTTCTACTTCAGTATTGTTGTTATTCATATTAACGCACGGGCTGTTGCCACCGAACGCCGTTGTGCAGAAGCCTCCAAGCGCCCTTAACTCGGTCCTTTCCTTCTCTTCTTCTCAAGGTGATCAGAGTGACAGGCTTCATGAAAGGGCTTTACACGGATTTCGAATTGAAATCAGATAATGTCAAGGTGGGTAAGAAGCTTCCTTGTTTGTTCAGCCTGAATAAAAATGGTCTCTGAAACGTGCTGCAAGGCACTTGTGGTCTTTTCTGTGTTCAGCTTCCATTGCTTTATTTGGGCGTTGTGTAGAAATAGTAGGAGGTATTGCCTGTTGGTTTTGCAATGCACAGAATCAGGATCGTTTGATTTGGAAGGGACCCTTAGAGGCCATGCTGTCCAGCTCCCCTGCAGTGCACAGGGACACCTACAGCTCCATCAGGTGCTCAGAGCCCATCCAGCCTGGCCTGGTGTCTGCAGGGATGGGGCATTCACCCCCTCCCTGGGCAACCTGTGCCAGAGCTTCACTACTCTTACAGTAAAAAGCTTTTTTCTTGGATCCAACCTAAATCTCTCCTGTTGTAGTTTGAAACCTTTTCCCCTTGTCCTATCACAACAGGTCCTGCTAAAGAGTTTGTCCCCTTCTTCCTTATAGCCCCCCCTTTAGATGTTGAAAGGCTGCTAGCAGACCTCCCTGGAACCTTCTCCAGGCTTATCCAGTCTATTTGTGGATGCCTTTAGATTGCATCTATGTATGTAGCTAAGGCTGTGGACACAAGCTGTTGTGATTAAACAACTATTTCTGTACATGTCTCATAACAATAAGGTCTGATTTATGACTAGATCTAGATCTTCAAAATTCTGTTGTATTACAGGTCATGTAGCAAAACTGCCTTGAAGCAATTAGGATTAAATTACAAACGCTAGAAATCCACACGTAGCTTCTTACAGAGTATGGTGGTCTTTCAGTAGAATGTATGTTTTTATATGTATTTCTTTGAAAAAATACCAGCCAAACATAGGTGTATCAGAATGTTTTGGGTTAGAAGGGACCCCAAAGACCAACCCCTGCTATGGGCAGGGACACCTCCCACAGACCACGTTGCCCAAAGCCCCATCCAGCCTGGCTTTGAGCACTGCTAGGAATAGAGCATCCATAGCTTCTCTGGGCAGCCTTACTGCTCTCTGAACAAACGTTTCCTCCCAACATATAAGCTAGATTTTCCCTCTTTTAGTTTAAAGCCATTTCCCCTTGTCCTTTCATTATCAGACTGTGTGTGAAGTTGGTCTCCTGCTCCTTTCAAATATGAGAACACTGCTTGAATATCTCCCTGGAGCCTTCTCCAAGCTGAACGAGCCTATATATATATATATATATATGTATATATGTATACTTTATACACATGTACAGAAAATATTATTGCTTAATAATGCATTCTTCTGTTATGTATGTTCTATAATAGTCTTATTACCATTAGTACAGCCATTATGAATGGCTGATCAATGAAAGATGAGTTCAGTGCTGTTAGTGAAAATGCTTTTCTTAAATGCAAGGATGACTTTAGGCTGTGTTTGCTTAGCTTCTAGTGCCTACCTGCCTTTTTGCTAATCAATGCATGCTGCCTTCTCCCAATACCAACTAGGCTTAAAACTTGCCACTTATTCATGGCAGATAATGCATGTTGTGTGTTGCTAGTTAAACAGCTACACCCATTGGTGATTGTTTAACATAGCAACTAAAACTATTAGCTTGCCATCTATACAGCTAGTTAAATGGATGGTTTATGCAATTCCCAGGGCTGATTATTGGTCTGGCTCTTATTTCTGTTACTGTTCTAACTGTTGCTGTGAAAACTGAAATCTAAATGAATTATACAACAGATTGATTGATTTTGTTTATCCTTTCTGTGTTGAAGCACGTCAGTGGGTTCTGTGAAAAGTAGCTTAGCACATGATCTCTCTCATTTGGAGAACACTGTCCATTTTATTTGTGGATCCAAAAAGCAGATTTCCTGGGCTGCAATTAGCCATGAACTGCATCAAACTGGCAGAGCATGCAGCTGAACCTCAATGAGTTGTGCTGTGTGCATGCAAAGCAATTCATATCACAGAGATGGAAAGGGGTCTGTGTGCATTAGGGAATGTAAATAGGAGTTTTCTTGAATTGTTGGGACTTTTCTGAAACAAAAACACTTCTTGCTGCCAACTACATTGGAAGGTATTGTTATCTTCATGTTTATCAGGAAGGTTTGTCTCCTTGGGGTTAATATAACATTGTTCTCTTAGAAATGGAAAGACATTCAGTCTTAATATCTGATATCAGGCTTGCTCTGTTAGTCTTTCCCATCAGCTTTATATTATGCATATATGAATCAGGCTGGATGGGACCCTGGGCAGCCCAGTCTAGTACTAGATCTGGAGGTTGGTGGCCCTGCCTTTGGCAGGGGTTGAAGCTTCATGATCCTTGAGGTCCCTTCCAACCCAAGCCATCCTATGATTCTATAAGTCTATGATTATGTGCTTAACAGAATGTAATTTTTGCTGTTTGTTTTGTAAAGCTCTCAGCACTGTTTCAGATGTTTGTTTCTATTCCAATAGAACTTTATTTACTGACTCAGGTAGGAGCTGTAGATTATGAAAATTTCTTGTTTGGACAGAAAACACTGATAACATAACTGCTGAAATTGACAGAGATTCATCTAGGAGGGACTTCTGGATCACTTCTATTTGAAAATATTTGTGTTAGGACACTGTCCTGCTTCCTTCCCTGAGTTAATAGATTGCACATGTCCTTGAGAGGATGGACAACTGTTTTAATAGAAGGAGGTTGCAGCATTTCCTTCCTTTTTTTCTTTTTGGTTTGTTTTTAGTTTTCTGAGTGCAGGGAGCACTGGTGAGGGCGAAGTGGTCCTGATGTTAATGGAGACAATCTGGAAATCCTAGCTATGTGGCAGTTGTTTGTTTTAATCTGTTTGGAAGAGCTGAAGAAGGGAAGTACCCTGACTCCACAGCCTGTCTTCCCACGCATTTGTTTTTGTTTATGGAGCAGCTCTAGGACTTGAGACATCACTGTATAGCTCCAGTGCCACAGGAATAAATAATGCTACAGATGGCCTTTAGAAAGAGTGCTGGCCTTGCTCAGCTGAGGAGTTACAGGCTTCTGTTGCTTTCCTTTTTGTTGGTATGTCTGTCAGATTAGATCCAGGTTTGTACTGGCTCTGTGCTCCCAAGATAACCAGTCAATCAGTGTCAAATCAGGTGTTCAGATGATTTTGTATAATCACCCAAAGCCATCATCTTTGCTGAAGGATGCTTAGGGAAAGTTGTTCTTAAAGTATAGTTATAAAACCAAAACACATCTGGTAACCATGGAGATAACATATGTGCCCGTATCCCTTTAACCACCATCCTTCTTATGTTTCCTTTGCTCACTGTTCAGTCTGGTTTATACAGTATGTATATTAGTCTGTAAGCCCTTCACTTGACCCATAAAGCTGGGACTTCTGTTCTGGGAGGTGTTCAGGGCAGGTCAGCTCCTGGTGATTTGTCTCAGCAAGTGCAGCTGTACCTTTGCTCCAGACAGCCTTGGCAATGCTTGCTTGTGAGCCATGGTTCAGCTGCTCCAGTTGTGCAGTTGCAGTTATTCCTCCTGTCAGAGGTTTCCTAACCTTGAGGTCGTGTGTGGAGTTATTTTAGAATCTCATGGTTATTTCTGAACTGTTGTTTTTCTAGGATAAAGATGCCAAAATCAGCTTCCTTCAGAAGGCCATCGATGCTGTTGTAATGGTAACAGGAGAGCCACTGTCAGTAAAACCAGCACGTGTTGTGGCTGGACATGAACCTGAGAAAACAAATGAGTTTCTGCAAGCCATTGGAAAGTGTTGCTTAAATAAGGTATGACATCACCGTATGTATTTCATCTACATCGTTACAGAGATACGTATTTATGTTTTATATTGTCAGAGCTCATTTGTGACAGAGTTTGACACTCATTAGCTATTTTTAATTACAGAAGATATACTGCGTTGGGATACCACTATAATAACAGATGTATAGAATGTGGTTCATGGCAGAGTTTAAGCCAGGTCCCCACACAAATGCATTCTAGTTATCTGTCTAAAAACCTGTGAAGTGATGGGTCAGAAGAAACTGTATCTTTAACAGTGAAATACTACAATATTCACAAGCTGTGTGAAGGTTTTGTCTGGGTAATCTTTGTCCAGTAATCTGGTCGTATACACTGCTATTATTTCCTTTTAGTTAACTGAATGAGACACTCTTCTTACTTATTAATTGCGTGAGATGGGGAAGGAGGAGCTGAAATGGGTTGAGTTTGATGGCACAGCTTTTTAGAGTGTTGTGATGAGATGTAATAACCAAAGGCTGAAGTCTGTCCATTCAAGCCAAGATTATTAGCCCTTTGTCTTTATTGTGAAAGCTGGGTGTGCATTATGGAAGAGGTTTGGGTTCTAACTAGCTTAATACCTAATTGTGCTACAGTAGATAAAAAGCACCATCTGTTTATATAAGCCTAATATACATAATCAAATTATTGCAATAATTACAAAGAGATGTTTAATTTAGAAGAGCAGAAATGTAAACTGCATTTCAAAAGAAATAAAAGAGTCACGTTGACTACAGAGTTTGGAAGAAGGGAGATATTTAATAAAGTAGCTCATTTCAGGAAATTTTTCTGTTTCTTGCAGCTGTCCAGTGATGTTGCTGTGAAAAAGATCTTAGCTGGGGAAAGAGCTGATGCTAAAGGAAAACCTCCATCCAATAAACCTCGAGATATAGAAAGCAGGGAGTCCAAAACAGAAGACCAAAAAAGCCGTAGGGATAAAGAGGTAGGAAACTCTTGTTGGGTACAGTGCTTACCAATTATTGTTATTTTTTAAATTTCTCTTAGTGAGCATGTAGAAAGTAGTGGTTATATGTAGAAAGTAACTACGTGATAGAGTTGACATGTATTGAAACTGAATATTACTTTTTAACTTCTTTTAGGGAAGAGGAGATACTGACATTAAAGACAGAAGTTCGAGCAGAGACAGAAAACCCAAAGGAGATGTCAAAGAGAGCGAAGAAAGAGAAAAAGAAGGTGAAAAACAGAAGGATAATGAAGATAGGCACAAAGACTCTGAAAGGGACAACTTTAAGGAAGGAGAAAAACAAGAAAGGGAAAGAAACAAAAGCAGAACGACCAAGCAAGGAAGAGAAACAGAAAAAAGCAAGGGAAAAAGAGACATAGAACGAGAAGATAATATTGAATGGAATAAAGTACAGGAAAGGGAGAAAAAAAATGAAGGAGGAAGAGAAACGGACAGACTGAAAGGAAGAGACAAAGATAAGACCAGGGAGAGAGAACGAGAGAAGGACAGAGAAAAGGGAAAAGACCGTGAAAGGGACAGACAGAGAGACAGAGGGAAAGATGGGGAGCATGTACAAGAACACGGAAAGGATAAAGCAGAGAAAAAGGTAACTGAAATCTTATTTCAGAGCAGTGCTCATCTTTTAAGCACTTTCTATAACAGTGCTTGCTTTCCCGAAGTGAACTTTTTTTTTTTTTTTGTATGGATTTAATCTGTTAAGGATGTGGCTGAGGCTGTGCGTGCACCTTCCTGTCTGTGAGCAATCAGACTCATCTGACTGTGCTTCCTGAACGTCTGTTAAGCAGTTTATTTTCTGAACTGTGCTTGTTTGAATTCTCTTCATCACATTCGATTCAGTTTGATAGAGTGGACTGGCAGCAATTGTTGGAATTGTTCACTATCTTTGTCATGCATCTTCCCAGTAATGCATGCTGTTGCTTCAGCCATAGCTAGCTTTTGGGAAAGGTGGGGGTTAAAGAGTTTCTTTGAGCCATAGCTGGTTGCTTGTCTCACTCTTGAGCTTACTTCTTCTACAGAGGGATCAGTTGAACAGTGATTCTTGCTCTGTTAGGCTTCCAGGAGAGCAAGGCAGATTGAGGAAAGCAGGTAGATGGTTAAGAATGCTGTACTAATGCACCCAGTTCCACTGTATGCTCATTTCCCAATTCATATATTTCAGTTAACTAGGCTGTTACTCAGCACATGGAATCTAAAACAAGTATTTCGTTTTAGTCTGCAGATTCTGAGGAATCTAAACTTAGAAAACTGCAGAGGCCAACTAAAGCCAGCAAGTGCCAGCCAGATGATGAGGTTAGTGATATAGAAAATCTGGAAAGGCAAATTTTGAAAGTGTTCCATTTTAGAATGGTTTGGAAATCTGCATTAAGGAAATTAAGATTGAAAGTTAAGTAGATGCCAAGTTTTAGGGCTCTAAAATAGGTTGTCTGGTTTTTGCTTGTTTTTAAATTTCTTATAGCATGGACAAAAAAAGCCTATTCAGTTTGTTTCAGTTTCCAGACTTTTAGTTCTATTTCTTGATATGTTGACTACTTCAGAAAAATGTTTATTTGTTCAAAGGTTTCTCCTTTTTCCTCTCCAGTCTTTCCTGGAATGCTGCTATTTGTTTGTTTGATCAGGCAGCTCAGCACGACACAGCTGCTCATTTATTCCCCCAGCAATGGGCTGGAGGAGAGAACTGAGAAAGTTAAAAGTGCAAAAACATGGAGATTGAGATAAAGAGTTTAATAAGACAAAAAAAGAAAAGGAAAAAAAAAAAAAGGAACTCAAAGAAAAGAAAAACAAGCAGTGTACAACTCATTTGTTCACCACCAGCTGACTGATGCCCAGAAATGGAGTCCTGGCCATCTCAGGATGATGCCATATGTATGGGATATTTCTTTGGCCAGCTTGGGTGAGCTGTCCTGGTTTTGTCCCCTCCCATCTCTATCTGCACCCCAGCTCCTTGTTCCCAGCCAGCTGAAGAAGCTGAAAAGTTCCTGGCTGAGTGTAAGCACTCCTTAGCAACAACTGTACTGTTGGTGTGTTATCAACATTGTTCTTACCCTAAATCCAAGCCACGGCACCATGCCAGGTGCTAGGATTTAGGACAGGTGTTTTAATAGCAGTTGCTGTGTTGAATGGAAAATAAATCCAGTCTTTCGTTGCAGCCTGTGTTTTGCAGCTGGATGATGGTAGGGTGGAATAGGAACTTGCTGACTGCTCCTGAACAGTAGCTGTTGTTTGAGATAGCTTTGTGTCTGCATCTGCTGCTTCTTGATGACCTGAGGCAATTTGGGGAATTAAGGACCCATATGGCTAAATGTTTAAAAGTGAGCCTTCAATAAATTAGCCTGAAGTAGTTCATTCTAGAAAGAAATAGGCAGCATCCCAAGTTCAGCAGGAGTCTCTGTTGGAAGTCTGTGGGCCACTGACATCATCGTGTCTTCTACATGAGATGACAAATTTATAGCTGTTCTTTGACTAAAATCCAACCAAAGTTTTTAAATTATTGGCACTTGGAGGGAGAGCTTATAAAATAGTTTTTAGCCTGAAGCAAACGTTCATGGCCAAGTTAAACTTCCTGCAAATTGGGTCTCTAATGGAAATTCTGAGCCTCATCCCAAACTATCGTAGTGCTCTTGGGCACCACTATAATATGCTAGGGCAGTAAAGTTTCATTTCCCGTCTTAAGTGCTTTTGGGAGTGATTCCAAGGCATGTTGGTTTACTACCTTAAATCTAGATAACATGCTTTTCCTTTACTTGCTTGCATAACAGTAGACACTGCTTTGCTTTTAGGTGTTGAAAACATACGCTTTAGAGCAGTGCGTGACAAATGGTCACTGTGCTAAGACTGTGGAAGAGAGGAATGAAATGAAAATGCTCCCAATGAATCTTTTAAAGCTGGAGAGCTGGGATAACTGTGTAAAGTGATTTAGAGAAAATTGCATCATGAGATAGTTGGGAAGTGCACCTTAATGGACTGGGATTGATCTTACTTTCCTCCCAGTAGTTTCACAGCAGGATAATGCCTTTATTTCCAGGGATTTATCCTGATTTAAACTGCTGTAATACCATTTCAGTCATGTGAAACAAATGTATTAAAAACAAAGGAAACAATTTTTGTATTTATACCTACAAAGAGTATTTGATTGTATTATTTGGTAGTGTGTGCTGCATTAATATATCTTAAGCATCCATTTTTCAGCTTTTTAAAAATATGCAGCAACTGAAACAAGTTACAGCAACCCCCTTTCAAGCTATGTCTGATATGCCACTGCCTGATGTGTTGCCTGCTTTCTTCTGCCCTAAGGACTGATCTCTTCTTCTTTCCTGGTTTGTTCCTGTTGGGTTCAGTTACACAGTACTGGCTTACTGTAGAGCCACAGAATGACTTAGTTTGGAAGGGACCTTAAAGACCATCCAGTTCCAGTGGTCAGTGGTCCAGTTGTCACCCACCAGCTCAGGCTGCCCAGGGCCCCATCCAAACTGGTCTTGAATGTCTCCAAAGATGGGGCACCCACAACTTTCTGGGCAGCCTATGCCAGTGCCACACCACCTTCTGAGTAAAAATTTTCTTCCCAACATTTAACCTAAATTTCCCCTCTTTTAGTTTACAACCATCCCCTCTTATCACTATTAGACCATGTAAAAAGTTGGTCCCCCTCCTGTTTATAAGCTCCAGCTGCAGTGGAAGGCTGCAGTGAGGTCTCCCCAGAGCCTTCTCTTCCCCAGGCTGAACAAGCACAACTTCCTTAAGCTTTCTTCATAGGAGAGGTGCTCCAGCTCCCTGATCACCTTCAGTGCCCTCCTCTGGGCCCACTCCAGCAGCTCCACATCTTTCTCATGTTGGGGCCCCCAGGCTTGGATGCAGTACTCCAGGTGGGTCTCACAAGGGCAGTGTAGATGGGGACAATCCCCTCCCTCCCCTGCTGCCACCCTTCTGTTGATGCAGCCCAGCATACTGTTGGCCTCTAGTCCTTCTCTCTGCCATCACGCTCCTAGTCACAGCTTCTCTTTCTTCCCAAGCATAATCTTCCCTGCCTTTACATTGCAATGTGCTTCTTGTTTTCCACTTGATTTTTGTCTTGTTTCCACCATATTTCACATAGGTCCTTTCATCAGACATGCTGCCTGCTTTGCAGCACAAGAACGTGGGAGAAATGGGAAAGTGGGGACTTCTATTCAGTTTGAGATGTCCATGGAATTTCAGACTAAGTGGATTCTGTGCTGCATTCAAATTCTTTTGTTTTTTTTTTTTAATATTGTCCATGTACAGCAAAGTTACCATATAAAGTTTAGTCATTGGTATGACTCCTTTGAGATCAGGAACCTAGATAAGATTCTATCATTATTCATCAAAATTTTCATTTTTCTTGCTGCTAATTTTCTGAGGCCAGCCTTAAAATACTATTTCAATTTTCACAGCTTGATTTTTTTTTTTCATGTATTTTTTCTTGAACTGAAGAAACTGTATGTTACAGGCATGTAATAGTCATCACGTGGGCATCTATAATTTTCTGGAACTAAAAAAAAAGCAAATATAAGTAGGGATTAAGAAGAAACATTTGGCCAACACATGGCAATCAGGAGACTCCTTTCTGCTTGAAGGCTGTTGCATACCACGTTGTTTCTGATCAGAGCAAGCCAGGTTGTGTTCTGTTCACTCAGTCCAGCTCAGGTAGAAATTTTGTTTGGAACAGACACTTAGAAGCCCAATCTGTCAAGCTACATAATAATAATAATAGAACAACTTTGTCTTTTGACAAGAGGTGATTCGAGCTGTAGAGCTGAGCGTATGGTGCTGCTTATATGAAAGTGTCTGCAGAGCAGGTATGTCATTTACCCCTATGGCAAAACACATTGGAAAAGTCTCTTCCATTTTACAGATGGCTGCTGAAACTTTTGGCTGAAGTTTTTTGTAATATCCTGTAACTTCTGGCCACTTCTGTAACGACCTTTATTTTTGCTGTACAAACCATATTGCTCTGGAATGGGTCATTTGAATCAGCCTCTAAAGTCCTATCTAATGAACTTCTGTTGGAACTCATCTATAATAAAACAACTACTGAATGAAAAATGACATAACTGCCCTTGAAGCAGCAGAAAGAATTGTTCCATGGAAATCTCCTAAACATGGCTTAGATAATTTAGTTCCAGTGCTGTGAACTGGAATGATTTTTGCTGTCAGTTATTCATAATTGACTCACATAATAGAAGTCCAACGTTCACATTTATGTTGTAAGAAATAGCTATTTTTTCCCTAATAACTCTGTGTTTGAGGGATTTTAATTAGCAGAAACTAACAACAATAGAACATCATCATCTGAGCATCTCTCAGGAAAAGGTAATTAATCCTAGTGTCATTGCCACACAGTCAAATGGATCTTTCCATGTTGCTGTTATGCACTAATAAATTATGCCTACTAATAACAGTGGTTATTTATGAATAGATACAAGAAATACAGGCAATTTAAGGAAAAGAGTAATGAAAATCTTCGAGCCTTAGAACTGAGCTGTATTTATGCATGTTACATAAAAACAGAAAGTGTGTTTCATAGAATGGCCTGGTTTGAAGAGAACCACAATGATCATCCAGTTCCAACCTCTTGCTATGTGCAGGGTCACCAACCAGCAGACCAGGCTGCCCAGAGCCACATCCAGCCTGGCCTTGAATGCCTCCAGGGATGGGGCATCCACAACCTCCTTTGGTTTATACATGTATATATTGTTTTATTGTTATATCTATATGTATGTCACTGACAGTACACATGTAAGTATGCCTCCTGCACCATGGGTCTAATTAGAAGCAAAGTCATCCACAATAGACAGAGGATTGAATTAGATTCCTATTCACAGTTGTAATTATTGTTGGTGAACTCCAGTGGACCTGATGAGTTACAGGAGGGAATTCACAGTGGTTTATATGGTGAGCTGTTCACTCCCTTGCTTGGGTGGAAGTGGTTTTTCTTCCCATGACTGTTGATGCATGGAGTGGCCTTGACAGGAGGAGATGTATGTAAGCAAGTGGGCTGTGTTGACAGTTGGACTAGATGATCTTAAAGGTCTTTTCCAAGCTCTATGAGTCTTTGCCTGGAATTAGTTAGGAGGGCAGAAACTGTTCAACTACTGCTGTGTGCATACACCCATAAAGCAAACAGCATGGCTATAATAGAGGAGAAAAATCTGACCTCCTGTGTGTGCTGCCTTCTGCTAATATTCACTACCAGACATTAGTGGGACTGTCAGTAAGTTTGAACAGTAGTTCTGTTCACAAAATCAGAGCACATGGAGCTTGAAGGTCCCTCTATAAAAATTATAGACAGAATCTGTTTATGAGATCCTTTTGTGAATATGGAGGTCGATTATTGCATGGAAGGAAAGGGCAGTTAACAGTTTGGCAGGATTTCCTTTCAGACCACGTTCTTCTTGACCAGCTGAAACATTACAAACCATTATTTTCTGATGTCTTAAGAGTGAAAATCAACCTATTTAAAGATTAACAATAAAACAGCCAATTGGATGGTTTATAGCAGACTACTGTATCCTCTCCAAATAGAAATGTAATTACTCAAAACTGGGAAGCGTGTACATCCATCTAGGATCCCACTTAAATAATTTTCTTTCTGTATGGTAAGTGAAATGAAGTGTAAGATTACTTTTTAATGACTTCATTTACTGCTTTTCAAAGTCTCGGGACTTTGGAATTTGTAAGAAGACCTATTTTATCTCCCTTTGGAAAGACTCAAGTCATAAATACTGTGGGCTTTATGTATTTGTATGCTACCATAGTGATTAAATGTTAGTGTTTTACTTTGCACCTGTTGCCAGCGTGCACATCTGGCACTGCAAAAGTGTTAAGCAGCCTTTGCAGTCACTACCTGACATAAATAAATGACTGAATCTGCTCCTCTAGAAGCCCCAGCACCAAGTCTCAACTCCTTCCCCACCTGTGCTAATAATTACATCACCCAAATTGCTGCTAAATAGTGAGTGTACCAGATGCAGCCTGCAGGTCTGTAGAACCAGATTGTGAAGCTATGGGGAGCTCGACTTTTGCCCCTGGCATAGCATTATCATTGTGAAAGGCAGTAGTAATTGAGACGAACCACTTCAATATTCACTGTGCATTTTGGCCTTCTATCTGATTTCTCTGTCCTTGTGTCAGTATCTTGGGAATGAGTCTGGAATACAATGGAGGAAAATAGGAATGGAGGAAAATGTAATTCTCATTTATGTTGTGTATAAGGGCATTATTTACAGAGTTAGCAGGTAATTCTTGCTTGCAAACTTTGTGAGTTGTTAATTCACACAAATTGCAAAATAAGCAGATAGAGTGAAAATCCTGTGAGGTGCTGATTGTCTTCGTGGCCCTTCTCCAGACCTGCTCCAACAGCCTCTCATCTTCCTTGTGCTGGGGACCCAGGTTTGGATGCAGTCCTTCTGATGGGCCTCACAAGGACAGAGATGGCTGGCTTGTTACTGGAGCAGTAATGCGAGGGATGAGAAGCTGTGAGCACCTGGTGGGCCACATTCCCTTGCTGGCTGCATCCTTTAGTCTGTGTGTAACCAGAAGCCTTCTCTGCCAGTGCTGATGTTGTTCTGCCTGCATGAGTGGCAGTCATGCCTGCCCTCAGACTTTCTGCTGCCCAAGACTGGGGCATAAGGGGATGCAGTGCCTCCGTTCTGCCCCCATCTGTACCCACAAGCTGTACTGGGCCAGCAGGAGCTCTCCTTTACACCTTGCCCTTTCTCTGGAGGTATATGGCCACTGGATGCTTAACACAGGGCCTTTGCAGGAACTATTGCCAGGCAGCTGCTCTTAACTTCAGGCAGTGAAAGCTATATCCAGGGAAAACAAAATAATCATGCTTCTGTGTACTTTCCTGCCTTCATTTCCTGGCCTCTTTGAATTGCTTGTGGGCTTAGGACAGAGTCCTCATAAAAGTCCTGATTTTTTTCCTTCAATTTTAACTTTTTCACTTATGGATTGCTATCATCATCCTTTCTGTTCCAGCTGTACTTTCAGATCACCCACTGCTTCTTTGATGGCCTTTCTGATAGGACCAGTGTCTCAGTTTGTCCATGTTTTAGTTAAGGACTATGTGTGTCCAGTGCCACAATTTTGTAGTGTCTACTTCTGCTTTGGAAAGAAATTCAAAACACTTCCCAGAAGATTGAAGAGAAACTGTGTATGCAGTGTGGCTGAAGCATGGAGGGGACTCTAAGAATCTTAACTCTTTGGACAGCCCACTGGTAGCAAAGCATTGTATTCCTAGACCAGTTATGGCATCACACATGCATTGCAAGTTTTGCAAGAACTCTACCTTGGATGTGCATGGATCACCTTTGGAACTACCTTACAGTAGTGAAATATGATCATATTTCAAGTTCATTAAAAAAAAAAAAAAGATAGCTACCACATATCCAGCAAAAACATCTGCAAACCTGAGGAAAATAGATTCTAGGTATTTTTTTGTGTGTGTGCATCAGTTTTGTAAGTATTTTTTAATGTATAACAAATGGAGACAAAAAAAAATCAACACATGTAATTCAAATTTATTTTTGAATATATGAATTTTCTTATGTGGAGATATATAAATTTGTGGGTTTTTTTTCTCTTTTTTTTAAGAGTGAAAGTCCTGCAGGAATATCAAGGCAGCCTTCAACAAAAGGATCAAGGCAGCGCTCCAAACCCAGAGAAGGTAATTTTTTTCTATTAAATATGCTGGAGGGTTGATATCCTGGAACAGAATAAAATCCCAAATATCCTTGCTTATTATTTTGAGTGCTTGTTTTTTACCCAGTTTGCATTTCTGAATCCAGTGGGCTGTTCTTTTGCATAGATTTGGTACATGGAGAGTAGTACTTAATTCAGTTTGGTCTCATGCTTCATGCAGAATTGCAGATGTAAATTCAACCTTCTCATGATAACTACAGTTTTCTCTCTGAATGGACTTTGTGATTGGTCTAAAACTATTTCCTTGTCTATTAGTTTCACAGAAACTGTTTCTTTGCTCCATAATCTGGCAAAATTAGACACAAATGACTTCAAAAACTTTGAGAGACTTAGCTTTTGTCTCATTTCTGTTACTGAGGGTAAGTAGATAGTATATCTCAAATGATTAAATGTTGCATGTTACTGTGCAGAAAGGAACATGTGAAGGTTCCTTAAATACTTTGAACTGAACAATATTCAGCACAGTGTTTTAGTTTAAATAAGATTCAAGATGAGGTGTTTAAGATAGCTTTAGTAAGATTAAAGACATTTATGATGCAAGATATGCTTTCCTGTAGGTATTAATTATACAAACGTGAACCCTGAGATATTTAACTTCATCACTTATTAATATTTGGGAAGTGTGTACTTCCTAGATTTACCTTCTCAATATTTTTAATCCTTTCTCAAGGATCTGAAGGCTCTGGGTATTGGATTTCTTTAGAAATTCTGGGATTATAAATGAAAAGATTACGTTTGTCATAAAAAAGATGGAGAAAAAGAGCCATGTTCTGTGGTGCTGACTGATTAATGCTCAGTGCAACAAGAAATTTCCCTGGGTATTTATTTGGTAAGCAATACATTAAACAGTACACATTTGTGTTCAACTTTCTGGGTTTTTTTTTAATCAAAAAGATAGTTGGTTAAATTTGAGACTAGCAAAACCTTTTAAAATGATTTACATAACTTGAGACACTTGTCGGAGTCCAGGTGGAACCTGGAGAGCAGATGAAAATGAGTTGTTCACCAAAACTCCTGGCTTGTAGCCCCTTTGATTAGAGGGTTTTGAAACAACTCTGTGTGTTTGTAGGTCTTTGGCTTCCAACAGTGTCATCACAGCTGTGGTCAACTGTATGTGGTCAAGAGTCAGTCGATGCCTAGCTGTGTGACCTGCTGCAGGGAGCCTGCTTTAGCAGAGGGGTTGGACTTGATGGTCCCTTCCAACCTCTACAGTTCTGTGATTCTGTATTGCACCTGCACTTATGTCAGGTTGGGACCTTGTGGCTTGAATCTGAGCAGAGAAGGTTCTCTAGATATCATCAGCACTGAATCTGTATCCCAGATCATCTTCCTGAGTAGCCTAGCCAGATATAACGAGCCAAACTCTGTGGCATTTCTGCTGGGAGCACTGAGGAAGGAAGGCCAGGTATTTATTTGTTACCCTGAATTATCAGCAGGAAATGAGAAGCTGTAAGAGGCCCATCTTGTACCCACCCAAGAGTTGCCCCTGATGAAATTGTGGCCATCACCTCTGTCTGGTGTACAGTGCTGCAGCCTCTGCTCCCAGGTAACAGTGATAGGACAAGAGGTAATGGCTTTAAGGTGCTCCAGGAGAGGTTCAGGTTGGATATTAAGAAAAAGTGACTCTCAGAAAGAATTATAATGCTTTGGAACAGGCTGCCTGGGGAACTGGAGTCACCATCACTGGAGGTGTTTCAGAACAGTGGAGATGTGGCATTGAGGGATGTGGGCATGGTGGGGTGGGCTGGGGTTGGACTTGGGGATATTAGAGATCTTTTCCAGGGGATTGATTTTATAATTGTATGATATAAACAACACCTTTATTTTGGAGCTTAAGTCACGTTAGTTCTTATTGAAAATTTTACATCACATCTCATTTACTTATAGGCTGTGAGGTTTTATTAATTTTGTTGCTGAAAAATATAATCTAGATTCCATTAAATGGAGCTTTATTTTACTTCGTAGTGATCAACAGCTGATCCTACCACTTTACTTAGAAATTTTATTTTCAAAAAATGAATTTGAATACTTGCTCTATAGCCTGGACAGGTCCTAAACTACAGTGACCAGACATGGCATGTTTTATAGGGTCATCCAATCTTTAAAATCAGCATCCATTATTCTGATGAATATGTTTTACCTTTTATCCAGTGCTTTGGCTTCAAATTCAGTATTTTAAAATACTCTTTTCATGATGCAGCAGGCCAGTGCACTCAAGTTTACCTATGTTACACTCTTTTTTTTTCCTAATGTGAGAGAGTTACAGTAAGTCAGTAAGGCTCTTACGTGCTCTAAGATGGAATCCTGAGGGTAGTAAAACCTTCTGAAGGTGTACTGATGGCTGCAGTATGTTGTTGTCTGCACCAACTGATGATGATGTTCAGACCTTTCTGTATTTTCTAACATTAAATGGAGACAAATAAATGTGCAGCAGTGGAACAGAAAGGAGTTTTGTGTCATGGCTGGTGAGTGCAAATTCAGCTATTATGGAAACAAAACTAAAGTGGTAAATGAAGGAGTAGTTCAGCAATTACAGATATGTTTTCTCTCCTGGTAATGAAACCAAGTTATAACAGCATTTGCTCACTTCTGGATATTAAAAACAAATTTATAGTGGTATTGAAGCAAAGGTGTTTTATTTTTCTATAGTTATTATTACTCACACCATAATTACTTTCATAGTTCCAACATTCCTTTCAGCAAAACCAGTTTCACATAGTAGAGGATTTTTTCTAATTTAGAAGTTGATCTGTAAACTGAATGTATTTTTTTAAACTTACAGTTGCTTTGAAAATAATTAACCCTTCTTTTGTGGAGGTGATGCACTGTGTGTGTGTGTTCACACAAATGTGTGTGTGTTGGAAGAAAACTGCCCACAAACTTGCACCTGAATATTAAAAGCTGGTTCTATAATAAGGATTAATGTTGCAGAAGAGAAAATGAGGTGAAAACCAGCATAATTTATTGCAAACCCAGTTTCTGAATGGGGTGGAAAAGCTCTTGGTTTGCAATCCATAACACATATACTGGTTTCTCAGGGATATTGCAGGAGGGAAGCAATCTGGGACTCCTTGTTGAGACAGTAAAAAGAATTAATTTGGAGAATAACACATTGGCAGGCTGTGAAGTGGTTGAGTGCAACTCTTTTTGAGTGCAACCATCCAACCAGTTCCTTACCCACTGAGTGCTCCATTCACCAAATCCAGGTCTTGCTGAATTAAAGGCAAGGATTTTGTGTGGGGTAGCATCAGACGCTTTGCACAAGTCCACACAGAGTTGACCTCTACAGTAAGAGCCAGGAAAAGGAAAGCAATGCTTGCCATGTCAGTCTGATCTAATTGTCTGGATAATTGGAAACTGTCAAAAGCTAATGTATGAATTTCCCTGGAAAATGCCATTAGTCATCTGTCTAGCCCAATCTCTATCTCTGATAGGCAGTACCCATACTGTTGGTAGCTGTTTTTCTCTGGTGGAGTATCTTGAGCAGTGGATGACCTAGTAATCATTTTAGAATATAGAATTGTGTTATTAAATTCAATAGGATTATGTCATTAAATTCTATAAATGAAACCTTTCCTTTATGATGGAGTGAAGCACTTCACTTTCTACTGTTGGTATGGTTTTTCAGCAAAGCTCCAGACCTTGTGGGTACCTTGTAGCACAGCTGTATAGATTGGTGATGAACTTTTTAAATGCCTTTTTAAAAATTTTATTAAGTAGCTCTTCATCCTGGCTTTTGTCAGCAATGGTAAATGAAAGGAGAGGGCTACTGTGTTAAAATCTTCAAAGCTAACAGAACTCAACTATAATTCCATGAGTGGGCATGGTGGTGATGGCTTACTATTGGTCTTTATGGTGTTGGAGGTCTATTCCAACCTTGACAATTCTAAGATTCTAACATTGCTGCTGCAGTGGACTGGGTAACTTTATGGATGCTCCTGATGGCATAGGTGGATGGGGAGATCCCCTGCTAGTGGTCCTGAAAGCTGCAGCTTTATGCTGCATGCAGTAATTTCATCTCTTGTTTTGCAAGCATTGGACACTTGAATCTGTAGTGTTAGTCAGGTTTATATCTGCTAAATCTTTTCCTGAGCATTCCAAACTGCTGATTTGTTGTGATGGTAGAAATTTGGTAGCCAGAAGATAGGAACCCTGTGGATCTGTTCTTTACATTTATATTAAAGTCACTCAATTTGCAGAATTTAAATTTTTGATTCAGTTCTTGGTCAGTATTTTCAGGAACTTTTTTTCTACATCTGCAGATATCTTCCATATCTTTCTGTGTCTTCCTATTTCTGCTCCTGCTGTATTTTGAGGAATGTAAAACCTGAACACATTGCAAGCGAGGTTAAGGCTGTGTATGTGTGTACTTTTTACATGGCAAAACCAACATGATGTATAATCTGACAAACTGTAAAAGTAGGATTGGGCGTTTTTTTGTTTGGTTTGTTGGTTTGTTTTTAATGCTCAGTTTTGTTTTCAGGAATTATATACAAATGGTGCTGAATTGTTCCTCCTTTGTCTCTCTTTGCCCTCGATATCATAGAATTTAGGAATCAGGAGTGTACTTCAAAACCTCAGCTTTCTTCTTCCAGTGTTCAAGTCATGGGGTCCATGTACTGAAAATGAGCTTTTCTTACTTGAAACTTTAATGGCTTTAGTATGAAATGCTTTTACAGGAAAACCTTTCCCTTTTGGAACAAACCAAAGTGCATTCCAAGTAGCACATAAACAACATTGTGTATTTTAGTAATTACATAGGCTTTATTTGTTAAATATTGTTTTACTAGCTATGAGGCTTATAAATAATATATTATTATTATAAATAATATCTTGAACTCACTTCTGAATTGTAGAAATTGCCTTAGTTTGCAGTAATATAAGGAGTTCAATCAGTGATCTTTTAAAAAGTATTTGTGAACTTTATATGTTATTTGTTTGCACTCAAGATGGTTTATCAATCTAAGGTAGCTCTTAAAGATATATGAAGTGTAACAGGTATTTAGCGTGGATTTTTTTTTAATTTAAAATTGTAACTGTATCATTTAATTATAAATTTCTGTTATAGGAACGGTAGAAATGAAGAGTGTGGCAGATGGGATTTCAGAGGACAGTGCTGCTAAACTGCAGGAGAAAGCTGAACCAGGACTTGTAGTAAAACAGAAAGGTAGGTGGAATAAGAGCTTGTCTGCCTTGGAAAGGCTAACTTGAGTGCCATGCAGTCAGCCTTGAATCCATGCAGTTGCTTAAAGGTAAGGAAGGATAAAGGTAAGGAATTCTTGCATAAAGGTAAGGAAGGAGAGAAGAGTACAAGTTTTCAGTGGGCTATGCTTAAACTGTCCCAGGGAAAATTCTCCTGAATCCCTTGGTGACTTGTTCTGTGTAACTGCATGTTGCCTTTTTGTGCAAGTGTTTGGAAGTGTCACTTAGTGTTTGTGTTTTGGAGGAATTTTGAGGCAGATTCCATCCGTGCTTTCTTATTTCTCCATTAAAAAAAAAGTTGTATGTGGCTCCCTAGACATGCATTGTTAATGAGATATTTGTATTCAGATACAGCTTACCTGGCATAAGAGGAGCAAAATGTAGGAAGAAGAACTGAGAGTGAAGCAAAAGACTGTGGTTTTATTCTCTCCAGATCCAGACACATGAACAAGTTAGGGGAGTTGATGCCACTGTCTTAGTTTCAGCTGGGACAGTTTCCTTCAAGAGTGCCTGGTATGATGATGTGTTTTGGTTCTAGGAGAAAAACAGTGCTGATAACACACTGATGTTTATAGTTAAGCATGTTATACAGAGCCAAGGCCATTTGCAGCAAAGGGTCCAAGGAGCTGGGAGGGAAAAGAATTAGGACAGGTGACTTAAACTGGCCAAAGAGATATTCCAGGCCACATGACATCATGCAGAATGAGTTTGAAGGGGATGAGAGTTCATCTGGTTCTCTTCCCCTGCTTGTGGGCTACTGGGGCATCAGTTGAGGGTGGTGAGCAATTGCTTGTGCATCATTTGTGATATACATTCACATATATATACAAGAACTATTATCCTTTTCCTTTATCTTAATAAATAGTTTTATCTCAACCCACGAGTTGTACTTTTGGGGAATGAGACTTTGTGGTGCTGGGCTACCTGCCAGGTTAAACCACAACAGTCAATCCAGTGACCAGCGTGGGCTTGAAGGGCTGAGGTAACAGCAGATCTGACCAGACTGTGTTAACACAGGGTGTTGGAATAGTTTGGTAATTGCTGGTCATGATGTTGATTTATCCCTATTTATGGAGCCCTTTCTGAGTCTTCTCATGGAACTATATTCCTTCTTTCCCTAAAGATCAAGAGCTAGTTACAGTAGCTCTTGAGAACTTTGAATATCCCTGGGGTGTTCATAGCTCCTATTGCTGTGTCTTGAATGTATTTCAGGTTATGTTTAAACAGTTATTTCAGCACATCACTCATAGATCTGCCCCAAGGTGGGATAGTTGAGGGGCACCTGTGGCAATATCATACCAATTGGGACTCCTCATATCATAGAATGGTTACAGTGATTGCCATGTGTGTGGGATATCAAAGGCTGTTTCCCACTCCACCCTCATAGCTGTGTCAGTCCAAGGAAATGTAGACAGTCAGCCAATATATTTGTGTGACCTTACACAACTGGGAGAAATTCCACCCTAATGCCTTTAGCACTCAAGTGTGAATTGCTGGAAACAGTCTCTTGTGTTTGTCTCTGCTCTCCTGGCATTGGCAGTAGTTTTCAGCAAGAAGCTGCTGGTAGTTCTTGGTGTGTTTTTCATGTCTCATTTGGTCAGATTATTTTTAAGGAATTCATGTGACTTTTCTGAAAAAACAATGTGTTTACTATTTCCAGATGAATTTGCCAATGACTTTGTAGTGACAGAAGACCAGCACTGAATATACCAGGGACAGCTAAAAACTTCTGTTAGAAATAAAACAGTGCTTTTTAATAAATAAAGCACTTCTGCAATTTAGTGAGTTTTTTTTTTTCTCTTATGCTATATACTAAAGATTAAAAAAAAAAAAAGAACTGTAGCAAAATGTAATTTGGTTGTGTTTGAGTAGACTTTGTTCAGGTAGTTTTTAGTTAAAAGAATACCAAAAAACAATCTATGAAAGTGCTTTGTAATTCAGGTTAAGTGCTTTCCAAAGGGGAGAGAAACCCAACGACATAAAGTGGTCATAAACTGTTACCTTTTTTTAACTTGAAAATAAGCAGGTCCTATGGGGAACTTCTTGCAATATGTTACAGGTAGTTATTGCAATAGCCAATTCAATAAAACGTATCGTTTCCATTTTCTTAATGCCTGCACATGACATTTTTTCCCTCCCATTACTTGTATTTGTGGGTTCTGCTCATATTAAAAGTTAAAGCGATCCACAAAACCTTTCCTACAACAGCAGGTAATTGGGGCAGTGATGATGAACAGTGAGGGTGGAATTCTCCTTTCTATCTTGTAAGCAACACGTGTGATAGATGTCAAGATGCAGTGGGAGCAAGAAATCAGCTGAGACCTTGGATATATAAAGCTTATAGAGTTGTATTTAGTTTGTCATACAACGCATTTCATTAACACATTAAAGTATAGTGCTGATAAGGCTTGAAATACTGTTGTAAAGAATTAGATTTGCATTGCCAACATGACAGGTATGACACTATTGCACTTTATTTCATTGAATAGAAGAAGAAGCAGAGAATCTTGATCCTGAAAAGCCTGCAGTATCTGAAAACGGTGAAGTAACCAATGATCTTCCACCTCAGGCTATCCAAAGGTTTGTTCCTGTTCTTTATTCTGTCTGACTGAAGCACCAATGGTGTCTGGAGGTAATACAGTTGTAGTGGAAATGCTGAGTTATGGCCTGAAGCAGTGATTGAGCACCCGATGGAAGGCAGGGCCAACCCAGAGGAGCTCAGGTGCATGCGATGTACCTGAGTGACTGGAAGGGGTGAAGCCAGGATCCACCCCTTCCCAGACCTCATTTGAGGGTTGGCAGTGGAGGTGAGGGTATCTCTTGCTGGAGATCCCAGTGTGTTTGAGGCCTTTCAAAGCAGCTCTTTTCCTTCATTTTTGCATGTGGCTGCTGTGCTTGTGTTTGTTCTCATTTGCTGCAGCCAAAGACTTTGCCACCCTGTTATTATCACAGTACTTTCCATCCCATTATAGCATTACAACTGTCAATTTGAAAATAGCAAGGGAACATGGAGTAGTTTGTGCTTGTGGCTCACAATAATGATTATTATCCCATGTATGATTCATTTTATTTGTTTTCCTTCTATGAAGAAAACTTTGTGTCCTGGATGTACATCCTTAATCCAAAGAGTGCTTTGATGTAATCTTACTAAATTAAGAGTGATCTGTGAGGAGTCTCTTGAGTCTATTGCATCACAAGCACTTCAGAAGTATGGTGTTATGGGTGAGATGAACTTGCCTTTCAAATCCCAGTTTACTTTTTCTTTGCCCAGTAAATGGCTACTGTAGATTTATCACTTATGGAAATATTTTTTTTTTTCCTTTTGCTGTATTCAGATTATTTTTTAGTGAGCCAAACTAAGAGGTGGTTTTACCCAAAATGATATTAGTTTTGCTGAAGGTCATCACACTTGCTAGGTTTTCCCAGACTCCTAGTAGGACAGAAGGTATTGCAATATAGGACTGTAGGCTGGGGATGATTCATTGGTTTTATGCGTTGGCAAAGTTACTTGATTCATCTGGATATGCACGTCTGCTCCTTTGGGGGATGTGTGAGCTTCCTTTTACAATATAGGTGAGAAGTCTTTTTTTCTTGCAGACGTATTCCCCGTCCTAGCAGTGCAAGACCAGCACCACCCCGAATAGTAAAACGCCAAGAGAGCACGGAGGCTTTGCTTCCAGAAAGGTGAGGAGTGTGGGGAGATGCAGAAAAGATGTTGTTAGCTCTTATGCCACAGTATTTTAAGATTTTATGTGCACCCTGTGCCAGTGGATAGCATTGGGAAGGATCACCCTACTGCTCATTATTTGGGCAGGAAAACTTGAGCCTTTCTGCAAATCCAGTGTATTACTTAGAAGTTACAGTTAGTGGCCACATCAGGAAGTTCAAAGGTAGATGCAACTTAATTTTTTTTGCCATTGGGAACTTTGAAACAGATAAGCCTAGAACATTAATCTTAACTACCAGAAGAAGAGATCTGTAAGGCATGCAGTGTATCTCGTGCTCAAAAAAGGCTGAAATAGCCCTGTGAATTTATGGCCAAAATGTCTTGGAGGTGATGTCAAATAAGTGCCAAGCACTAAAGCAGTGTATTCAGAAGTAATTGCAATGAAGGAGTTAGGTGTTCTGCTTTGTTTTATGGAAGGAGGTGATGGAATGGATCTGAATGGGATTGGACCTAAAAACCTAATAGGTTTTCACCTTTGTTTTATCTCTTTCAGGAATGGTAGTGGTAAAGCAGTCTCAAATGTGATCATAGACCAGCATGCTTCTGATGATGATGATGACCAGTTTGTGGTGGAGGCAGCCTTGCCCGTGCCTGAAATGCCAGAGCTGGAAATGGTCTGTTAATGTTACAAGTTATAGAACCTTTTCCCACCCTTTGTAACTTGCTTGTTTAAGTAGCTTCTAGCTGGTGGTGTTGTTGAATAGTTTTATATCATAGCAGTGCCAAATTTTTGCAACTAAAGCTCTCTCCCTGCACATGTAGGAGCCAGAAGTGGATCTGGAGGAGGATGAAAAGCATGGTATGTTTGCTTTTGTATGTATTTGTATGCATATACATATAGAATAAAGCCACACATTTAAACCAAGTGCCAAGCACTTAAAATGAGGAATACAGCAGCAAAATATCTTGTGAGGGAGCAGAACCTTGCAACTTTGCAAGAAAAAGGCAAATATTTCTCAAATGTAGTCTTGTATAGTTGAGCAGTGGGATTTACAGCTGATGTCAAATACGTATCTTCTGTATGTCTCTCTGAAATAGGTGAAGGGGTTGGCTGGTCAAGGCAAGTTATGGAAAAACTTCTAGGCAAATTGATGGTCTGGTTCTTAGCAATGTTTCTGCTTACTTGTGACCTCAGATATCTGAGGTCTTTCAGTCCATTATGGCCACATTGCATGTTATTTAGGCAGGCTTAGTTTTCTTAGCTAGTAGTTCAAGAAACTACTAACAAATTACTATCTGTGTACACACATGTGCATGTGTATGGAGATAAGACACTGGAAAAATAAAGTTAAAATATCATGTGTCTCAGTACTTGAAATATAATGGAACACTGTTCATGTTGGTTTTGATGTTATTGCCTTGAATGTTTAGAATAATATTTTTGTAACAACAGTGCTGAGAAATATCCTCGTTTTCTCCAGGTGGACTTGTAAAAAGAATCCTAGAAACAAAAAAGGATTATGAAGCATCACAAAAATCATCAAAGACGACAGAGAAGGTAAGATGGAAATGGCCTGCAAGAAATTATGACTATTAGATATTGTAATTATGACCTTTTTTTCTCCTTTGGTTTTTTTTTTTTTCATTTTTTGATCAAACTCCTCCTTTGTATGTTATACTTACTGTTTACCTGCATTAGTCCTTCAGTCCTCTACGTTCTGTGTTGTGCTTTCTTTCTTGACTTATGCTTTTAGTTTTATACAGCATTTAGTAGTCTTCTTTAGCCTGTTTGTTTTCCAGAACAGTTTGATTTCAGCCTTGCCATAGATGCAATAGGACACACTCTACATTTATGTGGCTACGTAATTATTGTTTCAATCTTAATTGTCCTCTGGTCCTATCAACCATCAGTCATTATCATTACCTATTAAAAAGGAGAGATTTCTGGTGCAGTTAACCATGTACAGTAAGTATTTCCATATCACCAGATGTTACTTCAGTAAAATCTAACATACTTAAGCTTTCTAGAGTGAATTGAGGAAGTGATTTTATGTAATTTCCCCAGCCAGAAATTGGGATAGGGAAATAGGAGGGAGGTAGGTCTAGAGGGGTTCTAGGAGCAATCACAAACCAAAAGCAAAATGCTGAAGATGTTGAAGCACACTGATATTCATGTATTCCTTCCATAACTGGACAGCTCTTGCTCTTTTAGCCTTACACAGCTCGTGTTGCAAGAAGGCACAAAAGGCAGAACATTTCAGATTGACTTTTTTGATTCATTGGCCCTTTGGGAACATTTTAGATAAGGAATGCAGTTCAGATTGCTTTTACAAAAATACAAACAGGTACATAGCATTTTGGAGAGGCAGCTGCTTTTCATGAGCTCTTAAATCTTCAGTTCTACTTGCATATCTCTTCTTACATTTATTCAGTATTAGTGATAGATGTGGTGTGGCATTCTGCACTTTTATTAGGTGCTGCAACTCAGATCTTAAGAACTAAGCTTTTAACAAAACTCTTTCAAATACCTCTCTGAAACTGGGAGAAACTTTTCAAGCCTAGACCACTTTTTGGCCTCCTGTTAATTTAATGAATATAGTTCTTGGCAATGAGTAATGACATTGTGATAGGTTATGAGTAAAGTGCACAGCTGGAAAAAACAAATCCCTGAGGGACTAAAACTCATGATAGACAGTAGACTTTTTTTTTTTTTTTTTTAAGATTTTATCTAGAACTTGTATGCTTTCATAATCATTTCTGGCAATCTGCAGCAAAAATGACACAACTCCTTAGGATTGTGATTTTTGGGAGGGTGAAATCAACAAATCTCTTAAGCAGGGACACTCCCAAATGCTTTAGTGGTAGTGAGTTATGCTGTCACGCAGACCAGCCTTTTTGTTCCTTCCCCAACACGTGGAGGAAATGAGAAAGGTAGATCAAACCCATGGGGAAGCATCTTCCTATCTCAGGTTTGGGGTTGCCTGAGATCCAGGCCTGCTTGCCAGACCAAAATTCCTTTCATGTATTGCATGGGCTGAGATTAAAGAAGAAAAATAATTTTTAAAATGGGAAAGCTTTCATTTTCTGCTCATAATCCATTTTGAGTAGATACAGCTTTATCCAACTTGCTGAATTACAAACTATTTATTATAAAGGTGCACCTTGTATTGCCTAAATGCTTTTGGCTATTTCTAATGAGTGTCTGATGTTGAATAAGTTCTGTCTTTATAGAGCTGTTTGGAGAAAGGGAGGATATAGAGATAATATTGCTCTGTTTATGCAGTAGCTCTTAAAGCTCATCACTGGAGTGTGTGTTGAGCTGGCATTTGTGAGAACAAGAGATACAGCTATTCCTGTTCCTAGTTTTATAACTAGGTGGTGCTGTTCAATCATCAATCTCCAGACTAAGTTTTGGGATTCCAGTAGCAGTTGAATTAGACTTTTTTTTTTTTTTTCTGCCAGTTCATAATTGTATTGCAGGCTATATTGTGCTGTATTGTGTCCTGTCAAGTGAGCACTTGGCACAGAAAGGAACAATGGAGAGCATTTACAAAACCTCATGGGTTTCATGTTCTGGAAGTTTCCTCTGGGACTTGTACTAAATTTTCCCTTTTTTTCTTTTTTCTCCCCTGAATGCATGTAGCTCACTAAATAAAACAATTCCCTTTTAACCCCTTAGATTTTTTTTTAAATGTACATCGGCCTATGTGTCTTTGTACAATCATCATTTAGTCCCACTGCCTATTTTCAGTCTCTAAAACACTCATTCTGTCCTTGTTTGCCTTTTGTTACTTCTTTTGAAGCACTGATCTGTGTTAGCAGCACTGATAATAGACAACTAATTCTGGAAAAACAAACCTGCTGACTTCCATCACGTGAAAATTTGCACGCAGCAGTAAGCTCCTGGAATATCATCTGTTCTCATATCCAAGCAGCTGGCTGCTGCTGCGTTTAGTTTCTTGCTGCTACTGCTTTTCAAATTAAATCACAGAATGGCCTGGGTTGAAAAGGACCACAATGCTCATCCAGTTCCAACCCCCTCCTATGTGCAGGGTCGCCAACCAGCAGACCAGGCTGCCCAGAGCCACATCCAGCCTGGCCTTGAATGCCTCCAGGGATGGGGCATCCACAGCCTCCTTGGGAAACATATTCCAGTGCCTCACCACCCTCTGTGTGAAAAACTTCCTCCTAATATGCAACCTAAACCTCCCTGTTTCAGTTTAAAATTGTTCCCTCTTGACCTATCACTATCCACCTTATAAGCTGAAGTTGTTGTGATCCAGAGAGGAGAAGCACAGTTTTCCTGACAGCAAAGGAAAAATCAGTGGAAAAGATGATTAAAAATGCTCAGAGTTGGTGACTGGGACTTGACAGATGTAACCCAGAAAACACGAGTTTGAGAGACTGCTGAATTCTTCTGACAGAAGACAGCGATAGGCACACCTCACATGAGACCCCAGACCAGCAGTTTGGGAAAGAACAGTTACTGGTCTGTGGGATCTCTTTGGGAAGATGCAGCAAAAGTAATTAAAAAGAAAGAAGAGTTTCAGGTGGTTTATTCCTTCCAAGTGCTCTCTGCTTGCAAGTGTAACCAAGTCCTGTTCTGTGGATGGGACTGTGAGAATGGGTCTGTGAGTGCTGGCCAGCATGTTGTGTTGAAATAGCTGTGGGTTTTGTGCCAGGTCTGGCTGTGCAGTCTGCTGGGAGCAGCATCAGTCTGAGACCTGACTGTTTCTCCCCAGCCTCTTACCTCTTTCATTTAATTGGTTTTCCATCAAACTCTCCAGAAGAAATATCTTCTACGTCAGCATGCAACATTATTCCAAAATGTGTTTTGCAATGTAGAGTAAAATGTGATTATTGTATTTTGGAGTAAGATAATTACAAGTCTGGTGAAAATTTGAAAGAATAATTCTTTGGGAAATTATACCTGAGGTTGATCTGTGTGTCTGTCAGTAAGAATGTTTGTTTGCCCTGGTTTTATTAAACTATTCAGTGCATATGAAATAAATGAAATATTTTCTCTGCTATATTCGCTACTCTTTAAAGCCATGTCTTTGTGCCAGAAGATGAAGAGGGAAGTGGAGATATCTGTAATCTGAGCACTGGATCTTTTGGCTGATGCTTTACAACATCTAATGCAGCAATTAACTGATCGGTGGCTCTACCTGAATTACTGTGGATTAATCAATTAGAAATTAGCAGAATCTGGTGAAGTAATACTTAATGGAAACGTAGCACTCGTGGGCTCTTGGGGATGTTCCATACCTTTACTTGTAACTGCTGATTGCAGAAGAGTATTTGTTTGTGTTAAAAGCATTTGCCTGAAACCTTCATTTTGCTTTTTCAGAAGTTTTAATAAAGAAAAAGCCAAGAAAATCAAGAAAGACAGGGACTTTCATCATGTAGGTTTTGCATGTGCAGAAACTTAAAATAATATACACAATTTTCAGGTCAAACAAAAAGGTCAGTCTGGAAATACACAAGGTTTCTGCTGCCTTGATTAGCTGTGTTCAGCCTAACAAATTCCTAAAAAGACTTCCTAAATGTATTTGTTTACAGTCTAATCCTCTTATGTTAAACAGAGAAAGAAACAGATGGTACGTTTTGTATTCCACTTCATTTATTTGATGTGTGGAAAGTGTAGGCAGGTTATTAAATAGTTGAAGCAAGTGGGATCACAGAATTCCCATCTTTCCCAAATATAGTTCATAGGCTTTGGAGAAGAAACAGATTTGAGGTTTGTGCTAGTAACAAGTGATATTAAAATAGCTTAGCACCTGGATAATATTAACTTCAATCACAAGTGCTGTAAATCAAGTAGGTACTTCTAAGCTTAGAGCAAATACAATCAATGCTGATTCTGTTTGTTCAGAGTTCTTCAGGTCATTGATTTTGCACATTAATCCACCAGCTGCATAGCACTGTGTCCACATCCAATCAATGCAAGCAGTAATGTGACTTGTTAACCATTTGTATTCGTATCTCCCATCATGTCAGTGTTTCAAAGGGGCTCACAGCTTCACAGCATCCTGCCTGTTCACAGAATCACAGAATGGCCAGGGTTGGAAGGGACCTCAAGGATCATGAATCTTCAACCTCCCCTGCAGGGCCACCAACCTCCTCATTCAATACCAGACCAGGCTGCCCTGGGCCCCATCCAACCTGGCCTTGAACACCTCCAGAGATGGACAGGGCATCCACAGTCTCTCTGGGCAGCTGTTCCAGCACCTCACTGCTCTCACTGCTTTCCCCTGACATCCAACCTAAATCTTCCCTCTCTTAACTTAAAACCATTTCCTCTTGTCCTGCTGTTATCTACCCTTTCAAAGAGTTGACTCCCCTCCTGATTATAGGCTCCCTTTACGTACTGAAAGGCTGCAATTAGGTCACATGTTGTAAGAAGTGCTGACAGTGAGATTTAATAGGAATTACCTGCACAAGGGCTTTTGTGTTTGTCTAACAGCTCTGGCTATGGTGATGTTATGTTAGCATAATGGTTATAGAGAAGATGTGCAGGGGGATGTTTGGTGCAAGCATGCAGTTCCTCAAAGAACT